GAGTGTCAATGGTCCATTTGAGAGATAGGTGGTGGTAATGCACTTACAAGTCTGCGATCCGCCATAAAGCAAGAAGAAGAAGAAGCAGACACGTCACACGCCGGCTGTCGAGGACGCGCTCAGGACAGTTCAGACATTGCAGTGCATCAGAGGTAAAAAACGATATAAATACTGTTCAGTTTCTTGCACAGACCGATCGTTTCATGTCTTTACACATCAATGTATCATCACGAGCCGCAGGGTTTAATTTGGTTTTGTTTGTGTATGTTTTTTTTTACTCTCAAAGCCGTGATTCCCATTCACCTCCATTATATGACTGACAGACTGCAACGGTTTGAGTTAAAAATTTGTCTTTGTGTTCTACTGAAGAAACAAAGTCACCTACATCTTGGATGCCCTGGGGGTAAGCAGATAAACATGACATTTTCATTTTTGGGTGAACTATCCCTCTAAGGAGACTTTGGTTATGGAAAAAAATTATGGGAGGAAAAATGATGTCATATGCTCACAAAACGTTTGCATTGCCAAGTGTGTTCACTTTGCAAAACTTTTGAGCTCCCTACTATGAAACTTTGCATTCGTTTGCAAAACTTTTGCATTCTCTCTTAAAAGTATTGCACATTGCAAAATACAGTTATTATTAACACTCCATTTCTATGATTTCCATCACTAGTTTTGTGTTTGCTCGAAAAACCTTTTCGGGGGAAATGCAGAACTTTTGTGAGCAAATGCAAAAGCATTGAAATATATATATTTTTTTTTTCTATCACCATGTCCCCTTATATAATTATGTTTAATTTTAGAACTGTTATTTGTCATTATGCATTTTCGTACAACTGAACTGCATAATCATTAGAATACAGTATCTCAATAAAACCATAATATTCATTATGAATATTTTAAATATCAATAATATCTGATATAATAATATACATCATTTAACAAAATTATTTTAGATAGCAAGACAATGTTGTATAAATACATCAATAGTCTTATTCCAAATATCTATTTAATGCATACTGCTTATTTAAACTTTTCAAAAAAAAAAAGCACAGATTGTTCAATTAACCTGTTTTGCTACCATTATTGATGATATAATGTTTGTGATGTACATGTCATACTTTTAAGTAATTTTTACGATACAGTACTCAACTACAAAATAACTTGAATGCACATCTCTAGTGTAAAGATAATGGCATTAAAAAGCTGAGTTCTCTGCTGAGAATGATGAATCTCACCTCGAAGTGTTTTCATATGCTGGACCGCCATGCGCAGCACCGTGAGTTTGTCCAGCTTGCGGGACATGGCGTTGCAGGTAGGCACTAATGAAGCCAGTTCATCAATAAAGCAGTTCATCTTGTCTCTGCGTCTCTTTTCTATCTGACTGTGAGCCTCCCTGTTGATGACCAAGAGTCCAAAATAATGTTACACTTGGAAGAAAAGGCACAGGATCTATAACAGCATATGATCTATCAATTATAGTATATATATATATATATATATATACACCTGTATATACAGAATTGCTCTGGATTACAGTACCTTGCATTCTTAATCTGCTGATCAACCCTGTTGAGAGAAAAATAGTTTAACGTCTCAGAAATAATTAATCATGTAGGCTAAGTATAAACACCAGATAATCAGATACAGTCACGTGGTAGAATAACCAATAACCATTTTATTGGTAACACTTTAGAATAGGGAACACATATTCACTTTTAACTAAGAGTTTTCCCTCAATAAACTCCTAATTTGCTGCTTATTAATAGTTAGTAAGGTAGTTGTTAAGGTTATGTATTGGGTTGGGTTGGGTTAAAGGATCTAAAATATGCACATGCAGAATAAGACATTAATTTGTGCTTTATAAGTACTAATAAACAGCCAATATGCTAGTAATATGCATGCTAATAAGCAACTAGTTAATAGTGAGAATTGGTCCTTAAAATAGTTTTACCATTTTATTTTGAAAAGTTCTCTCTCACACACACACACACACACACACAGTGGTGCTTCAAAATCTGTGAACCCTTCAGAATTTTCTATATTTCTGCATAAATATGAACCAAAAGATCATCAGATTTTCACACAAATGCTGAAAGCTGACAAACAGAATCCAATCAAACAAATGAGACAAAAATATATACTTTGTCATTTATTTATTCTGGAAAATGATGGCAAAAATATGTGAATCTCTAGGATCAGCAGTTAATTTGAAGGCGAAATTAGAGTCCATCTGTTCAGAGGTGTTTATAATCAATGGGATGTTTATCAGGTGACATTGCCTGCTCCGTGTTATTTAAAGAACAGGGATCTATAAAAGTCTGATCATGTTTGTGGAAGCGTATCATGGCATGAACAAAAGAAGGTCTTTGAGGACCTCAGAAAAAGAGTTTATGTTGCTCATCAGGCTGGAAAATATTACAAAACCACTTGTAAAGTGTTTGGACTCCACAAATCTACAGTCAGACAGTTTGTGTAAATTCAAGACCACTGTTACCCTCCCCAGGAGTGGTCGACCAACAAAGATCACTCCAAAAGCAAGACGTGTAATTGTCCACGAGGTTGCAAAGTACCCCAGGCCTTTCTCACACTGGCTAATGTTAATGTTCATGATTCCACCATCAGGAGAACACTGAGCAATCATGGTGTGCATGGCAGAGTTGCAAGGAGAAAGCCACTGCTCTCCAAAACGAAAATCACTGCCCATCTGCAGCTTGCTAAAGATCATGTGGACACGCCAGAGGGCTATTGGGGAAATTTTGGGTTTAAATGAGAAGCGTTATGTTTGGAGAAAGGAAAACACTGCATTCCAGTATAAGAACCTTTTTCCATCTGTGAAACATGGTGGTGGTAGTATAATAAACCCCTTTAACACTGCACGTTGGTCCCAGAAAATTGCCGGAGTGCCTTCTGTGTGAACGCAAACAAGTCCCGGGATTGATTCCAGGATCGATCCTGGGTTGGGGACCTATAACATTGCCGGGTTCAGTCCCGGAAGGTGCCCTGTGTGAACCAATGCCATAACAGACGCGTCGTAGTTATGACGTAGTTATCATGCGATTCTTTGAGCGGGTGTTTTCAATAATACAACCTTGCAGTGCCGGAGGGGCTAGTCGGTGTTTTAAACGCAGAGAGTGGTGTTCGAGTAAAAAAAATTAAAATAAAAAAAAAACAGAAATGTGCGCAAACTGGACTGAAGCAGAGACCACGGAGATCCTCAGTATCCACGCTGAAGCTGAGATCGTTCGCCAGCTGAGTGGAACGGTACGTGATGCGGTTGTGTATGAGCAAATTAAAACCAAAACGAAACAGTGTGGTTTCTCGAGAGAGAAATCACAGGTAATAAGTAAGCTCAAGTTTTTGACTCGTACATTACACGTCACATCCTGATGTCACGTGTCATTACGGACCTTTACGAGTTGTGTGTGAACACACGCACAGATTCCGGGAAATCACTGGCAGTGTGAATAACCCAAAATCTAACGATCCGGGAACAATTCCCGGGACACATTACCCATGTATTTTCTGGAATCTCTGTGTGAATGGTGCTATATATAGTTTGGGCCTGTTTTGCTGCATCTGGTCCAGGACGGCTTGCCATCATTGATGGAACAATGAATTCTGAATTACACCAGCAAATTCTAAAAGAATATGTCAGGACATCTGTCAGTGAACTGAATCTCAAGAGAAAGTGGGTCATGCAGCAAGACAACAATCTCAAGCACACAAGTCATTCTAACAAAAATGGTTCAAGAAGTAAATGTAATGTTTTGGAATGGTCAAGTCAAAGTCTGGACCTTAATCCAATTGAAATTTTGTGGAAGGTTCTGAAGCAGGCAGTTCAGAGGAGGGAACCCGCCAACATCACAGAGTTAAGCAGTTCTGTACTGAGGAATGGGCTAAAATTCCTCCAAGCTGTTGTGCAGGACTGATCATCAGTTACAAGAACCATTTAGCTGCAGTTATTGCTGCAAAAGGGGGTCAGACCAGATACTGAAAGTAAAGATTCACATACTTTTGTCACTCTCAGATGTGTAACACTGGATCATTTTTCTCAATAAATAAATGACAAAGTATATATTTTTGTGTCATTTGTTTGATTGTATTCTCTTTGCCAACTTTCAGGACTTGTGTGAAAATCTGATGATACGGGCTGTCACGATTCCTTGATTCAATTCAAGTACTTGATTAAAAAAAAAATCCTTGACTGCAATTTGCCCATATCGAGTAACCGGCAAAATACCGGAAGTGGCGCATTCCATGGACGACAATCCATGAAACGCAGGCTGCATGATATATTAAACCCACTTAAGAATCATAATCAAGCATAATGCTATTGTGAATTGACAAACGCTACGATTCAGTTAAATAAATATATGCAATGAAGACTTAATATATGCACTTTAATTATTGCGTGTAGGTTATGTACGTGCATGTCAGAGCAGCTTTGTTCACAGTACAGTAAATGCTGCTCCACACAAACTGTTATCATTTATCAGAATAATTGACCGATTACTCAATTACCAAAATAATCGTTAGTGACAGCCCTAGTGATGATCTTTTGGGTCATAATTATGTGGAAATATCGTGGAAATTCTAAAGATTTCACAAGCTTTCAAGCATTAATGTATGTATGTATATACAGTATATATATATATATATATATTTTTTTTTTTTTTTTAAACAAAGAAACATTGAAATGAATAAGAAATTTATTAAATTCCCTTTGAAGCATACCCTTAAAGCAAAAGGGCAACAAACTAAATACTAAAAAAAAAACGTTACATTTTTTCAGTTAAACCTTTTGATTTTTTATGCTGATAATACCATTTTTGATGTATAAATATACAGTATATAAATAAATCAATCATTTAATTTACCTTCCAAGTTGTTTGTCCTTGTCTATGTCCATACTGTCCCTTAAAAATGAACAGTAAACAAATACATTAGCTTAAATAGTTCACAAGTCAACCTATATAAAGTAACCTGAATGGTTATATACCCTGATTTGCAAGTAAAAGGGCAAATTATTTCTCAGAACCACATGAAAATTACTCTTTATAACAAATTAATTCTTCTCTTTCTTGTTTATTTTCATTATAGTCCATAAATGATTAGGTTAAGAGCACATCTGATTAATTTCTCGTCATTAAATATCATTGCAGGATAAGGATCCCACAATATGGTACGAGTTACAAATATACTATGACTTGATATGATGTAACTCCCATCTCATGCACCATCAGCTCCAGATTGGTTGTTTCATAATGACTTGTTTCATAACTGACCAGAATGAGAGAAATGTTACACATTGTTTACCTGAGGGCTTTACAATGAAAACATCTACCACAGATTTTTTTTTTTTTATTAGAACATACTTTTTACTCACCTAAACCTCTATGACCTCAAATATTTACTTGATGGATAATATAATAGAACTACACATGTTCTTATTTTCAAACAATTAAAACAACTAACTTGATCCTTTTTATAAGAACATGCCAATTTTATTAGAATCTCATGAACCCCCTTGGATGGAAAACCCTGCATTACAAGTTACTGTTAAAAACAAACCTCAAAATTGCAGCTACATATAACACAATAACTGCTAATACAATAACTGCTACTATGCGTGATATTCAGACACTAACAGTTATAAACTATTAAATGGATGATTTCACTGTGCAAATAGTGTTTATTTGCACAAGCTGTTTTCGCAATGTTTGCACCTGATTCACAAAAAGTAATTTATGCACAATATTTGCCCTTGAAACACTGTGCTCCGTCTCTCTGCATGAAGTTAGAATGCAGAATGCAGAAGGTGCTGGTCTGCATTTGTCTTAAAACAAGAACAGACTGGACAGTTTGACCAGTTGGCATGTGTTCATCCATACTCACTGACCATTCACTCTCAGCGGTTTGTGTGAGCTGTGAGATTGGGATGAGGAATCTCATCCATGAAGCCTCAGATCTAAGAGGACAAAATTGGTATTTTTCTCATAAACAAAAGGGTAAATTGATATATTTCTATTTTTAAATTTTAATGAGATGAGTAATCTGCTTGTCCTCAAAGAGAGACACACAACAAAAAGGTACTCTGACAGTACCATGGTTTAGTGACGTTTCAGTGATTGATATATATATATATATATATATATATATAGTCATTTAGATGTTTTGTTTTGATACTTACTCAAATGAAAATCCATCAATTCTGTGAAAAGAAACATATTGACAAATTTAATTTCAGATTATCTCATATTAAAGGGATATTCCACCCAAAAAATAAAAATTCTGTCACAGTTTACTATCCCTGAAGTCATTCAAAACCTGTCTTGACTTCCATTGCATTTTTTGTCCATTCCATTTAAGTCAATGGGAACTGATAACTATTTGGTTATCAACATTCTTCAAAATACCTTCTTTGTGTTCCACAGAAGAAAGAAAGTTATACAGGCTTCTTGAGGGTGAGTAAATGACAACAGAAGTTTAATTTTTGTGTGGACTATCCATTTAAAACTATAGAATATGCTAAATCATGGCAACACATAGTAAATGTTTATGGTTTAAAACTGAAGAAAAATTTAATTCTGTGACAGATAAGTACAAAACAAGAAATGTGAGTTGAGACAAGCGACACCAAGTTCCCTCCCCACTCCCATTCAAGTCAATTCTGGGTTTTCTGTTTCCTGCTTCTCACTCCTGCAGTTCTCACCATTTACATATGAGAGGGACGCATTAGTATGATGGCGTGATTGTTTGAAATAATTTTATGATTATAGATGATGTATTGTTTAAAAACTTTATATCCAAGAACAGAGAGTGATTTATTACCCACCCATTTTAATGTTTACATCAGATTTTATTCTTTGTCTCATCCACATTAATCCATCAGTAATTTTCTCATTCATTTCATCTCATTCAAGGATCACCCCCCTTGTGTCAGTATTTTGTTGAACCACCTTTTGCTTTAATTACAGCCTTTAGGCTGTTGGGATTTGTCTTTACTAACTTTGCACATCTAGACTTTTGCCCACTCTTCTTTGCAGAACTGCTCAAGTTCAGTTACATATGATGGTGAGGGTTTGTGGACTGCAGTCTTCAAGTCATTCCACAGATTTTCAATGGGGTTTAAGTCTGGGCTCTGACTAGGCCATGCAATGACATTCACCTTTTTCTTCTTCAACCACTGTGTGGTCAGTTTTGCTGTGTGCTTTGGGTCATTGTCATATTGGAAGGTAAACCTTCTTCCCATTGACAACTTTCTAGCAGAGAGCAGCAGATTTTCCTCAAGAATTTGATGGTATTTTGGCCCGTCCATTTTTCCTTCTAAAAAGCTATATTGGATTTCCGCCAGACATATCGTTTGAGGTTGAGGACAAATAATTCAATTTTATTCTCACCTGCCTCAGAATCTTAAGGTGTGTTTTGGCAAAGCTCAGTCGTGACTGCATGTGGCCTTTCTTGAGGAGTGGCTTCTTTTCTTGCAACCCTCCCACACAAGCCATATTGGTGGAGAATTTGTAGTAGCCCCGTTTACATGGAGCATTGTATTCCGATTATAACCAGTTTAAAAGTCCAATCTGAATGAAAATGCTCCATGTAAACATCTCAATCAGATTAAAAATGCTCAAACCGATTGAAATTTCAGTCAGATTGAAAAGGGTGGAATAAACCTTTTCATGAACCGATCAAACGAAAAATTACACCATGTAAATGAGCTGATCCGATTTCTTTGAGTGTACGTCCTTCTGCGCATGCCTGGTTTAGACGTACCGGGAGTGTGTCGTCAGAATACAAAATGGTGGTGGCGGCGAAATCAAACTCCCACCAGTCCTTGTTACACACCTTCATCCACGTGCTTCGGTCTTCTGAGGAGGGAGGAGTAGAAAATTAATGCTTTGTAGCAAAGCACCACGACCAAAGAGGCCAGCTTCTTGCACCTGTCTTCTTCTCTAAGTTTGCAGCAACAGCATGTAGTCTCGCTGTTGCTTGATTAAAATAAACACAATGCTGAACTAACACAAGGATTAAGTGATGCACCATCTTGATTGAATTGAAAACGCAGGAAATAATGACGTTCCTAATGCAGCAGACAAGCTGTGGGCGTATGTCACAAAATTATTCCGATTGGAAGCGTCAGCACATGTAAACACAAGATCGGTTTAGATTACATGCCATTTAAACAGTCAACCAGAATCCGTCAATTGGAATGATCTCAGTCAGAATGGCAAAAAAGTGTGCATGTAAACGGGGCTACTGTTGTCACATCCACACAATGACCACTCTTTGTCATAAATTCCTGCAACTGCTTCAGAGTTGCTGTAGGACTCTTGGTAGCCTCTCTGACCAGTTTCCTCCTGGCTCTTTCATCCAGTTTGGAGCGACGTCCTGATCCAGGGAGGGTCTGTGTTGTACCAAATACCTTCCACTTCTTAATAATAGACTTCACTGTGATGCCATTGAGAAGGTGATTAGCTACACCTGTTTGAGATTACAAGTCATTTTTAGGAGGGGGTGATCCTTTTTCCAACTCAGT